TGCCACCGTCGTTGGACATGAGGAGCTGGGAAGGGCACAAGCCCCAGGGAAAGGTAGGATGGCGAGACTGGAGTGGGAGTGTGTTGTGATTGTGGGGTGCTCTGTGGTCCAGGGGTACCAAGTGGGTGGCAGAGCTTGGGCTTCTCAGCTTGCTACGCTTGGAGCAGGCATGGAGCAGGCAGGCCATGTGCCCATTGCTGGGGTTGTGTGGGTATCCTTGCCTGCACTGCTGACAGGAGTGGGTGCACTGGAGAGTCCCTGCAGTGGCTGAGGTGGCCCGGTTGATGTGAGCTACCCCTCTGGGTCTGGCACAGCATTCAGCACTTGTGGGCTCTGCTGGTGTCACCCAGGGCACGGCAGTGTGTTTGGTATGGGCACAGAGTGTTGGTAACCCAAGAGCTATTTTGGGATGCCAGGTTTTGGAGCTGTGGAAGGAGCTGTTGGTACCCAGCACAATGCTGTGAGATTTTGTTCCTCCTGGGAGTGCACACGGGAGCAGACAGGCAGTGCCAGCATTTCCTGACTGTGCCAGGCAGCCTGCCATACTTGCTAGGTACACTGGTGAGGGAAGGGTGAGCCACCAGGCTGTCCCCAGCATGGAACCTAACGGCTCCATCCTGGACACCAGCCTCCTCCTGGCTCTGCCCCTACCCTGGCACGTCATCCCCGGGAAGAGGAGTGAGGTGCTTTCAGTATCGTGTTTTCCAGGAAGGCTACTCCAACTCATACCCCTGGGAAGCAGGCAGTGAGGGGAGGGAGCTGCCAAATCACAGCCAGGGCACAAGGAACATCCGAAAAGGAACAAACCGGCCCAACACCTCAGCCCTCCTTGGCGTTGGTTGGGCAGGGTGCCATTACCCTCTGGGTTGGGTTATTTTCCGCTCTGGAAACGACCCATTCAGACACAGAGCTGTGGGTAGGGAGGGATCTCCAGGCCCATGCCTGGATCGGCCGTTGCTTTCTGCGTGCCGCGGCGGTGCCGGCCGGGCTTTGTCTCTCGCGGAGCCTCTACGCCGCTATAAATAACCGGTGAGATCATCCCGGCACCGCCGCACGCCCGGCCGGGGAGCGCCCTCCGGTGGCACCGGGCAGGCCCTAACTCCGGGCAATCCGGTACGGGATCCGGCAGCCGTCCTCTCTGGCCGCGCTGCTGGGTTTTGGGGTCGTGATGCTGGGTGGGAGATGCTCATTAGTGCCCACATCATGTCTTTTCCCTCTTTTCAGGTGCTGGTGCCCACCCGTGTGGGCCAGGTGTATGTCTATGACTCCCCCAAGGGTGAGCAGGTTGAGTACGATTTCCCTCGCCACCTGATCTCCACGGGCTCCCAGGAGATCTATGACGTGCCACCTGTCCGAGGAGGGGTCCCAAGCCAGTTCAGCCAGGAGGTGAGGCTGCTTGGGATGTCAGGGGGACATCTCTGTTTCTGCCCTTAAGAATGGGAGATCACCCCCAGGTCACTGCCTGAGATCCGTAACAGGCTAAATTGCACCCAAAACTATACTTCATGGACCTCAGTGCTGCTTCTGAGCACCTCCACCATTCCCAGCTGGTCCCTGAGAGGAGGTGGGTGGCCACACCATCTCTTACACATCATCCTGTGTTCCCCCGCTCCAGGTCTATGACACTCCTCCCATGGCAGTGAAGGGTCCCAATGGGCAGGACCCAGGGCAAGAGATCTACGACGTGCCCCCCAGCGTGGAGAAGAACTTGCACCAAACTGTAAGTGCTGCTGGGAAGCTCGCAGCTTCTTTGTGTAAGAATGACAAACAGATTTTTATAGGGAGAAAAGCAATTTACTAGATCAGTCTCCCCAGAGATGTGGTGATATCCTTGGCACTGGAGGCTTTCAGAATGCCAAGGAATGGGATGCTGGATGTTCACATCCAGGGGATGAGGTTGGACCAGATGATCTTTCAAAGTCCCTTCTAACCTGGGCTGCTCTATGATTTTTTGCTTCCTGTCCCAAAGGGCAGGGGCACCTCTGGGGTGTATGGCTTCATCCCAGGGCCATCTTGAATGATCAGTGCTGTCACTTGCATGCCCCACAGCTCGGGGCAGCCAGCCTGCATCTCCACACCCACCCCAGGCCACCTCTCCCTGCTGACAGTGCCACTGCTCTGCCCTTGCAGGTGTATGATGTCCCCCCCTCAGTGAGCAAGGACGTGCCCGATGGCCCAGCGCGGGAGGAGACCTACGATGTGCCACCCGCCTTCGCCAAGCAGAAAACCTTCGACCCCTCCCGCCACCCCCTCATCCTGGCCCAGCAGGAGCCCTACTTGCCAGAGGATGTCTATGATGTGCCCCCAGCAGCTGGGAAAGGTGCTCCTGAGCTGCCACTATCCCATGAGATCTACGATGTGCCCCCCAGCCTCAAGAAGCTGGGGGGATCCACCTTCCCCTCCCAGGAGGTGTACGATGTCCCCCGGGACCTGCACGCCCCAGGCAAGGGCTCTGTGGACACGGAGGGCGAGTACATCTACGACGTCCCACCACAAGTAGACCGTGAGGCCAAGGGTGCTGATGCCAAGCGCCTCTCAGCTTCCAGCACAGGCAGCACCCGCAGCAACATCTCCACATCCTCGCTGGACGTGGTGCCTGTGAAGGAGCCGGCTAAGGGAGCCGGCAAGGAGTTCTCCCTGGACTTGGATGCCGCCATGGAGACACTGGCCAAGCTCCAGAGTGGCGTCAGCAGCGCTGTCTCCTACCTCATGTCCTTTATCAGCACCAACTGGCGCAGCCCCGAGCACATGGAGGCCAATGCTGCCAACATCCGTGGGGCAGCCGACGGTGTCCGGACTGCCCTCCGGGACCTGCTGGAGTTTGCCCGGGGGGCAGTGGGCAATGCTGCCCAGGCCTCTGACCGCTCCCTCTACACCAAGCTCAGCAAGCAGCTGCAGAAGATGGAGGAGGTCTACCAGGCCCTGGCAAGGCACGGCCAAGCGCTGGACGCTTGCCACTGGGCTCCCAGTGCTCTGGCCAGCAGCAAGCCGGGCACAGATGACTTGGAGCACTTCATCATGCACTCACGTGGTGTTCCTGATGACACTAAGCAGTTGGCTTCCTTCCTGCATGGCAATGCCTCCCTTCTCTTCAAACGGACAAAGCCGGCGGTGGAGAGTGGTGGCCATGGGCCCCCTCACCCCTCCGACAAGGCCAGCAGCATCCAGTCACGGCCCCTGCCCTCCCCGCCCAAGTTGCTGGCCCAGGAGTCACCTGACGGGCCCTACGAGAACAGCGAGAGCGGCTGGATGGAGGATTATGACTATGTCCATCTCCAGGTGGGCATGGGTATGGGGGCTGCTTCCCACAGGGAGCCTTTATGTCTCTGGCACAGGGGGAATTAGGCAGCTCTGCTTCTGCCTATGTTTTGCTCTTACCCTCCAGCTTGAGGGCTTTGTGGACCAGGGCAGGTGGAGGCTCTCTGGTAAGGCTGATGTTGCTGACCCCTTCCATGTCATGCCCCTGCAGGGCAAGGAGGAGTTTGAGAAGACCCAGAAGGAGCTGCTGGAGAAAGGCAACATCATCCGGCAGAGCAAGGACCAGCTGGAGCACCAGCAGGTAAGGGCACTGGGGCCTGCAGGTGGGTGCTGCTGTGCACAGGGCCCTGTGTCTTGCTTCTGTTGTAACCTCTGCTGCTGGTCTGACCACAGCCTTCTTCCCTGGATGTTCTCATATTGCGTTCTACCTTGCCTTTCATACCAGTGCTATGCCAGTAAAGAGGGGAGTAGGCACCATGATCCCAGAGAGGAGCCTGGCATGGCTGTCCTGGGGCTGTCTCTCTGTGTTCCCTGGGGCTGGTGGCCATGGCCACCTGTGCTGGTGGCTCCATGGAGGGGAGCAGGTGCTGGCTCAATGGCCACCCTGCCCCACGCCTGTCTCTCCCACAGCTGAAGCAGTTTGAGCGGCTGGAGCAGGAGGTGACGCGCCCCATTGACAACGACTTGTCCAACTGGAGCCCCCCCCAGCACTACAGCCCCGCGCGGGGCGGTGGGACACTGTGTCCTGCTGACCGCCAGCTCCTCCTCTTCTACCTGGAGCAGTGCGAGGCCAACCTCACCACGCTCACCAACGCTGTCGATGCCTTCTTCACTGCTGTCAGCACCAACCAACCTCCCAAGATCTTCGTGGCCCATAGCAAGTTTGTGATCCTCAGTGCCCACAAGCTTGTCTTTATTGGGGACACGCTGTCCCGCCAGGCCAAGGCCCAGGACGTCCAGCACAAGGTGATGCACTACAGCAACCTCCTCTGTGAGATGCTCAAGGAGATTGTGATGACCACCAAGGCGGCTGCCCTCCACTACCCATCTCCTTCTGCCTCCAAGGACATGGTGGAGCGTGTCAAGGACCTCGCCAACAGCACGCAGCAGTTCAGGATGGTGCTGGGCCAGCTGGCAGCCATGTGATGGCCTCAGAACCACTGTCCCCACTCTCTGGTCCCCATCCCTAGACATACATTTCTCTCCATGCAAGTCCTCTCCACCTGGTGTAAGCAGACATGTACATAGAGACTCCCACATGCACCGGGGGCTGGGGCTCTGTGGGAACAGAGGTGAGGGGCTGCAGCCATCATACCCCTTCCTCCTCCCTCTGGCCAGGGGCCAGGAATGGTTTGAGCTGTGCCCATAATGAAGCAAAGCTGGGATATGGATCTATGTCCACTCCTTCCCCACTCTCCTCTCCATACAAAACTGGCAGCCAATTCTGGGCTGAAGGGCATGGGGCCATGTCCCTGGTGAGTCAAGGATGTGGCTGGCAAATTGAGATGCCCTTTGTGGCTGCTGTGCATGCCGTGGCTGCTCTGCTCTCGGGAGGACTCTATGGTGCGCTCTGGAGAACTCCATGGTGGCCAGGAGATTCTAACAGTGTGGAAGCCATCACCTGTGATGGTGGGACAGAGTGACAGAGATGGGTTATACTGTCCCCTTGTGTGCTGGAGGCTGGGGATAGGGGTCCCCATGGGGTTTAGGGGTGGTGGGGAGCTGCTGGGGCAGGAAGGGGCTAACTTGTGCGTTCTCACATCTCGGGTTGTGCTACAGTACCAGCTGTAACTGAAACGTGAACCAAAATTGGTGCCTTTTGAACACAGGGGAAGCTTCCGCTGGTTCCCGGAGCTACCACATGGCAGCTTGGCAGCCCCCTCAAAACTTGGCCCCAAGTCCCTCAGCAGTATAAAGACTTGCCTAGAAAACACCCCTTATCTCCTGGGTATCTGTGTGTGCCTGCTGGGGTGAGGGAGAGGCCCTGTGGCAGGGCTGGGGAGATCCTGCCCTCCTAGAAGATCTTCTATGCTTTGGAGACTGCTGGTGCATGGAGGGGTAATGGGACACAAGGGATGGGCCTAAGAAGGTTGGGGGGAAATGAGGATTGGGGGTGGCAGTGCAGGGCACTGAGGCCACATAGCACCAGAAGCAGTATGAGTGTCCCTTATCATCATGCCAGGGGCCATGGTCACCATGGGACCTATGGGTTTGGTGTGGCAGAGAGGATGGTAGCATGTGATACCAAGCATTCCTGGTCCTGGCTATCCATCCCTTCCAAAACCTCAGGAACCATGGCAGCCTTGGTCCGAGAGGTACCTCTGCTGCTGCCCTGGAATCACCAAACCTATGGACACGCCACAGTCCGCAGCTCCTCAAGTGTGTCCTCATCACCACACCCTACATTATGTCACCCCCAGCCCCATGACTCTCCCCATGCCCACGGTACCGACAGGGAACCAGAGCCCGGTGCCACGCAGGTGCTTATTGAGGGTCTTGCGGGTGACACCGGGCTCCACGGACACCGAGAAGTCCTCGAGGCTCAGCTCTGCGATGGCGTCCATGCGGCTCAGGTCAAAGCAGACACCGCCCTGGCACAGGGGCACCTGAGAGTCTGGGCACGGCCGGGCACCGAGAGCCCCTGGGGGGCCGGAGGTGCCGGGGAGCCGATACCTGCACGGCATTGACGCCTCCTTCCAGGCCGGTGCCAGTGCCAAAGGGCACCATGGGCACCCGGCGGCGGTGACACAGGGCTGCCAGCTCCTGCACCTGCCCCACCGCCTGGGGCCACACCACGGCGTCCGGGGGGGCACAGCTGGGGACAGGCAGCACCGCTGACCCACTGACTTCACCGCTTCAGCCTCCCTCCCCATGGCCCTTCCCCAGCCTGGGACTTGGCACACGGTCCTTCCCTTCCCCACGGCCCCTTGTCTACCCAAATATTTCCCATCCTCGGACCCGGCCCCTCCCCTGTGCCCCTTCCCCTGGCTCCTGCCTTCCCCGGGCTCTTCCCTTCCCCACGACCCTTCCCACGGTCCTTCCCCTGCCCAGGGCTCCGGGGGCACTCACGGGTGCATGGACTCATCGTGGCCGTGCTGCTCCCGCACCGCGGTGGCCGTGGAGACATTGGGGGCCCCGACCACGGCCCTCAGGGCCTGCACGAAGTCGGGGGGCAGCGGGGGCTGCGGGGGGACAGCGGGGACGCGTCAGGGATGTCCTGGGGAGGGTCTGACCGCAGGCACGAGGCCAAGTGGCCGCGTCAGGACCGGAGTGGCCCTCGGAGCCCCGGCCCCACCTTGGAGCAGCAGCTGCGGCGCCCCAGGGCTGCCGCCAGCGCCAGCACCCTCCGCAGGGCCATGTTGCAACGGGACAAGAACGGGAACGCGGGAACTGCACAGGACCGGGACATCGCCCTCCCCCGCAGCCCGTCTGTCCCTCCCCCACACTGACACCTTAAGGTGGCTCCAGCCACACGCCACTGCGGCCCTGCGGAGGGACCCGGCTCCCGCCAGTGCCTCTGGTCGTGTTCCCGTGCTGTCCCCTGCCTGGGCGCAGTCACTGCATTCACCATGGCCCCACCCTCACGGTGTCCCCGTGCCTGCTCAAGTGTCCCAGCAGCTGCTCAGGGCTCCATGACCCCATAGGAGACCACATGTCCCCACGCTCCTCCCCGCCCAGACAGGAGTCACCGTGTCCCCCCGTCCATCTGTCCCCATTCTCAGTCAGGGGTCCCCATGCCCCCTGTCCCTCTGTTCCCATGTGCAGCCAGGTTTCCCCATTCAGGCACAGGAGTCACCATGTCCCCAGTCCATCTGTCCCCATTCCCAAACAGGTGTGCCCATGTCCCCCTGTCTATCTGTCCCCTTTCCCAGCCAGGTGTCTCCATGCCGCTCTGCACTCCTGGACAGGTGTCTCCATGCCCAGAGAACTGACCCCAGCCCACCGCATGCCCCATCCTCAGCCGGGGCTCTCCCGGCCACCCGTCCGCCAAGTGCCCCGCTCCTGTCCGTCCCGGCACGGTGACAATGACACCAAGTGTGCTCCGGGGGTTGCAGCGTTTATTACAGGCCTCCGTTGGCCTCGAGGATGGAGTCGATCCAGCCGCGGAGCTTGGTGACGCGGGCGTACACGCCGGGCGTCTTGGTGTCGCAGGTGTTGCTGCCCCAGGAGACGATGCCCACCAGGTTCCAGGCGCCGTCCCTCTGGCACACCAGCGGGCCCCCGGAGTCGCCCTGCACGGGGCAGCGGGTGAGCGCCGCGGCGGGGCCCGGGGCCGCGGCGGCAGCGGGGGCCGGGGGCACGTACCATGCAGGACGAGGCTCCGTCGGCGCCGGCACAGACCATCACGTCGCGGATGCGGAAGCCCCAGAACTCCTTGCACTGGGCGTTGGTGAGCAGGGGCACAGCCGCCTGCTGCAGCACCGCCGGCGTGTCCGAGGCTGCGGGGAGCGGCCGGCGTCAGCGCCGCCACCGGCACCGGGAGCGGAGCGGGAATGGGGAAAAGGGCCGGGAGAGACGGGGAGGGCGGGACGAGGAGGACAGGACCGCGATGACGGTGCAGATGGGGACAGGACTGGGTCAGCAGGGTCGGGCATTGGTGATGGGGATGAGGGATGGGACTGGGACAAAGATGGGGATATGGGAATGGGATGGAGATTCAGATTCAGATTTGCATGGGGTCTGGATGGGAGAATTGACATGAGCGTTATGATGCAGATGAGGACAGGGACTAACCATGATTAACCATATGGATGAGGAAGGGGATGGGGAAGACAGCGGACAAGGACGGGGATGGGTATTTGGATGAGGAAGGGACAGGAATGGGGATGGGGACACGAAAGTGCAGTTACCGCTGGAGTCAGTGAGCCCCCAGCCAGTGGTGACGCAGGTCATCCCCCCCGGGAAGTCGTCAGTGGCCGCGGGCAGGCAGACGGGGGACACGCGATCCGACAGCTGCGCTGGAGTGGCCAGTTTGATCAGGGTGATGTCGTCGTGGATGGTCAGCATGTTGAACCTGGGGTTCTTGAAGACCTGAAGCACGAAGCACGGCCCTCAGCACCTGCAGCCCCTGGCAGGGTGCCGGGCACTGGGCACTCCACAGCGATCAGCTGGGACCTTGGGGAACAGTGGGGACCCCGGGGGTGGCTCCTATGGGCCCCATGGTGGAAGGGTGTCTGGGTTGCAGAGATCAGTCCCTGGGATGCTGGGGAGCAGGGACGCCCCAGGTCACATCCCCTGCCCTGTGATGAAATGCACCCTGAGGCCTGAACCCCTATCCCTTGGGAGTTCCTGGGAACATAGGGACATCCAGGGGACCTGACCTGAGGGATGAGTGGGAGCAGGGACGCCCCAGGGGATTGCAGTGCAGGGATGTGGGACACCATGGACACCCCAGGGAACTGTGACCCTCAGGATAAGCGGAACTGGGGACTCCTCAGGAACACAAACCCCAGGACAAGGGGGACCCGCCGTGGCCGTGGGATCCCGCAGGCACACGGACCCCGCCCTGGAGGTACCTTCTCGATTTTCAGTTCCTGCTGATCAGGCCCGGGTGCGTCCTGGTCGTAGGCGCCCACCACCACGCTGTCGGTTTTCCTGGGCACAGGCAGGCACTGAGCACGGGACACCGGCACGGGCACCGCGGGTTCCCTGGGCACCCCGTGCCCGTGCCCAGCCCTGGCCCGGCCGGCAGCAGAGCCGGTGCCTACCTGACGCCGCAGTGGGCAGCGGTGACCACCCAGTTCTCGCTGATCAGGGACCCGCCGCAGAAGTGGAAGCCGTCGTTGCGCTGGCGGGGAGAGCCGCCCTCAGCACCCGGCACCGTGCTCCGTGCCCGGCCCCCACACGGCACCCACCCCTGCCCCCGGCCCGCCTCGGGCTCTCACCTGGAGGGACACCTGCCATGGCCAGGACCCTGGCACCGCCGCCTCCCCGTTGACGATGCGGTTGTAGCCACGGACGACGGGCGGGATGGCGGGCACGCCGCAGTCTGCGGGGCACAGGCGGCCGTGGGACGGTGGCTCCGGCCACCCCGGCCCCGTGTCCCCTCCCCACCCCTCCTCCCCGCCCCAGCCCCGAGCCCACCGCGCCAAGTCCCACGACCCTACGCACTCTCAGGGAGGGCGGCACGGGCAAAGCCCACCAGTGCCAGGCAGCTCAACACCCACAGCAGAGCCATTGCCACTTTGTGAGGACAGACCTGCCTGACACCCGGTGACTCTTATATGCACCCCTGGGCACCTCCCCACTGCCACTGGCCTTGCCACCGCGGCCTTGGGAGATAGTGTGGCGGCTGGAAATTCTCCAGGAAATAGCCTGGGAGCATGGCACCTGGAGCCAATCTCCTTGGCTATGGCTGTGGGGCAGTACTGGCCTGGACTAAATGCCGTCTTCAAATGTCCTAGAACTCATTCCAGTTGGCCCATGTCCTTCATAATTGTGGTCCTAGAGCTGGACACAGCACTGCATGCATGGTCTCAGCATAGTGGAGCAGAGGAGCAGAATCCTCTCCCTTGACGTGCTGCTCAGGTTGCTGCTGTTGTAGCCAAAGATATAGTGGGGTTTTCTGGGCTGCCCGCACACTTTGTCATGGTGTGGTGGAGTTTGGAAGGACCAAAGAGTTCTTCTAGGGCTGGCTCTGCAGAGCCGTTCCAGGCTACCACCCAGACAGGGCTTCATACAGAGGTTCAGGTGCCTGGGACACGTGGCAAGGTGTTGGATGCGAAGGTTCCACTACAGGCAAGATGCCGGTGGCACCATATCTGCTGCCACACTATCTCCCAAGGCCACGGTGGCAAGGCCAGCGGCAGTGGGGAGGTGCCCAGGGGTGCATATAAGAGTCACCGGGTGTCAGGCAGGTCTGTCCTCACAAAGTGGCAATGGCTCTGCTGTGGGTGTTGAGCTGCCTGGCACTGGTGGGCTTTGCCCGTGCCGCCCTCCCTGAGAGTGCGTAGGGTCGTGGGACTTGGCGCGGCGGGCTCGGGGCTGGGGCAGGCGGGAGCGGTGGGGAGGGGACACGGGGCCGGGGTGGCCGGAGCCACCGTCCCACGGCCGCCTGTGCCCCGCAGACTGCGGCGTGCCCGCCATCCCGCCCGTCGTCCGTGGCTACAACCGCATCGTCAACGGGGAGGCGGCGGTGCCAGGGTCCTGGCCATGGCAGGTGTCCCTCCAGGTGAGAGCCCGAGGCGGGCCGGGGGCAGGGGTGGGTGCCGTGTGGGGGCCGGGCACGGAGCACGGTGCCGGGTGCTGAGGGCGGCTCTCCCCGCCAGCGCAACGACGGCTTCCACTTCTGCGGCGGGTCCCTGATCAGCGAGAACTGGGTGGTCACCGCTGCCCACTGCGGCGTCAGGTAGGCACTGGCTCTGCTGCCGGCCGGGCCGGGGCTGGGCACGGGCACGGGGTGCCCAGGGAACCCGCGGTCCCCGTGCCGGTGTCCCGTGCTCAGTGCCTGCCTGTGCCCAGGAAAACCGACAGCGTGGTGGTGGGCGCCTACGACCAGGACGCACCCGGGCCTGATCAGCAGGAACTGAAAATCGAGAAGGTACCTCCAGGGCGGGGTCCGTGTGCCTGCGGGATCCCACGGCCACCACGGGCAGCCTGGGGGCTTCTGTGCGGGTCCCCCTTGTCCTGGGGTTTGTGCTCCTGAGGAGTCTCCAGTTCCGCTTATCCTGAGGGTCACAGTTCCCTGGGGTGTCCATGGTGTCCCACATCCCTGCACTGCAATCCCCTGGGGTGTCCCTGCTCCCACTCATCCCTCAGGTCAAGTCCCCTGGATGTCCCCATGTCCCCAGGAACTCCCAAGGGATAGGGGTTCAGGCCTCAGGGTCCATTTCATCACAGGGCAAGGGATGTGACCTGGGGCATCCCTGCTCCTCAGCGTCCCAGGAACTGAGCCCTGCAACCCAGACACCCTTCCACCATGGGACCCACAGGAGCCACCCCCGGGGTCCCCACTGTTCCCCAAGGTCCCAGCTGATCGCTGTGGAGTGCCCAGTGCCCGGCACCCTGCCAGGGGCTGCAGGTGCTGAGAGCCGTGCTGCGTGCTTCAGGTCTTCAAGAACCCCAGGTTCAACATGCTGACCATCCACGACGACATCACCCTGATCAAACTGGCCACTCCAGCGCAGCTGTCGGATCGCGTGTCCCCCGTCTGCCTGCCCGCGGCCACTGACGAATTCCCAGGGGGAATGACCTGCGTCACCACTGGCTGGGGGCTCACTGACTCCAGCGGTAACTGCACTTTCGTGTCCCCATCCCCATTCCTGTCCCCTGCCTCATCCAAATACCCATCCCCGTCCTTGTCCGCTGTCTTCCCTGTCCCCTTCCTCATCCATATGGTTAGTCATGGTGTCCTCATCTGCATCATAACGCTCATGTCAATTCTCCCATCCAGACCCCATGCAAATCTGAATCTGAATCTCCATCCCATTCCCATATCCCCATCTTTGTCCCAGTCCCATCCCTCATCCCCATCACCAATCCCTGACCCTGCTGACCCAGTCCTGTCCCCATCTGCACCGTCATCGCGGTCCTGTCCTCCTCGTCCCGCCCTCCCCGTCTCCCCCAGCCCTTTTCCCCATTCCCGCTCCGCTCCCGGTGCCGGTGGCGGCGCTGACGCCGGCCGCTCCCCGCAGCCTCGGACACGCCGGCGGTGCTGCAGCAGGCGGCTGTGCCCCTGCTCACCAACGCCCAGTGCAAGGAGTTCTGGGGCTTCCGCATCCGCGACGTGATGGTCTGTGCCGGCGCCGACGGAGCCTCGTCCTGCATGGTACGTGCCCCCGGCCCCCGCTGCCGCCGCGGCCCCGGGCCCCGCCGCGGCGCTCACCCGCTGCCCCGTGCAGGGCGACTCCGGGGGCCCGCTGGTGTGCCAGAGGGACGGCGCCTGGAACCTGGTGGGCATCGTCTCCTGGGGCAGCAACACCTGCGACACCAAGACGCCCGGCGTGTACGCCCGCGTCACCAAGCTCCGCGGCTGGATCGACTCCATCCTCGAGGCCAACGGAGGCCTGTAATAAACGCTGCAACCCCCGGAGCACACTTGGTGTCATTGTCACCGTGCCGGGACGGACAGGAGCGGGGCACTTGGCGGACGGGTGGCCGGGAGAGCCCCGGCTGAGGATGGGGCATGCGGTGGGCTGGGGTCAGTTCTCTGGGCATGGAGACACCTGTCCAGGAGTGCAGAGCGGCATGGAGACACCTGGCTGGGAAAGGGGACAGATAGACAGGGGGACATGGGCACACCTGTTTGGGAATGGGGACAGATGGACTGGGGACATGGTGACTCCTGTGCCTGAATGGGGAAACCTGGCTGCACATGGGAACAGAGGGACAGGGGGCATGGGGACCCCTGACTGAGAATGGGGACAGATGGACGGGGGGACACGGTGACTCCTGTCTGGGCGGGGAGGAGCGTGGGGACATGTGGTCTCCTATGGGGTCATGGAGCCCTGAGCAGCTGCTGGGACACTTGAGCAGGCACGGGGACACCGTGAGGGTGGGGCCATGGTGAATGCAGTGACTGCGCCCAGGCAGGGGACAGCACGGGAACACGACCAGAGGCACTGGTGGGAGCCAGGTCCCTCCGCCAGGGCCGCAGTGGCGTGTGACTGGAGCCACCTTAAGGTGTCAGTGTGGGGGAGGGACAGACGGGCTGCGGGGGAGGGCGATGTCCCGGTCCTGTGCAGTTCCCGCGTTCCCGTCCTTGTCCCGTTGCAACATGGCCCTGCGGAGGGTGCTGGCGCTGGCGGCAGCCCTGGGGCGCCGCAGCTGCTGCTCCAAGGTGGGGCCGGGGCTCCGAGGGCCACTCCGGTCCTGACGCGGCCACTTGGCCTCGTGCCTGCGGTCAGACCCTCCCCAGGACATCCCTGACGCGTCCCCGCTGTCCCCCCGCAGCCCCCGCTGCCCCCCGACTTCGTGCAGGCCCTGAGGGCCGTGGTCGGGGCCCCCAATGTCTCCACGGCCACCGCGGTGCGGGAGCAGCACGGCCACGATGAGTCCATGCACCCGTGAGTGCCCCCGGAGCCCTGGGCAGGGGAAGGGCCGTGGGAAGGGTCATGGGGAAGGGAAGAGCCCGGGGAAGGCAGGAGCCAGGGGAAGGGGCACAGGGGAGGGGCCGGGTCCGAGGATGGGAAATATTTGGGTAGACAAGGGGCCGTGGGGAAGGGAAGGGCCGTGTGCCAAGTCCCAGGCTGGGGAAGGGCCATGGGAGGGAGGCTGAAGCGGTGAAGTCAGTGGGTCAGCGGTGCTGCCTGTCCCCCAGCTGTGCCCCCCCGGACGCCGTGGTGTGGCCCCAGGCGGTGGGGCAGGTGCAGGAGCTGGCAGCCCTGTGTCACCGCCGCCGGGTGCCCATGGTGCCCTTTGGCACTGGCACCGGCCTGGAAGGAGGCGTCAATGCCGTGCAGGTATCGGCTCCCCGGCACCTCCGGCCCCCCAGGGGCTCTCGGTGCCCGGCCGTGCCCAGACTCTCAGGTGCCCCTGTGCCAGGGCGGTGTCTGCTTTGACCTGAGCCGCATGGACGCCATCGCAGAGCTGAGCCTCGAGGACTTCTCGGTGACCGTGGAGCCCGGTGTCACCCGCAAGGCCCTCAATAAGCACCTGCGTGGCACCGGGCTCTGGTTCCCTGTCGGTACCGTGGGCGTGGGGGGAGTCATGGGGCTTGGGACAGTAGTGGGGGTCCTGCGTATTCCTTTAGGCATGGGCCTTGTGGGAATGTTGGGAGTGATGTGGTGTCCACAGGTGTGCTGTGCTCCCAGGGGTACCCATGTGAAAGGAAATGCCAAGGCCCCATTTCTTTTTGGGATGCCCATAATTTTGCTGCAGTTGAAATCACAGTGGTGTCCATGTGGGAGTGGACACCATCCCCACCTGCTTCCCCTGCCCGTCCCCTGCTTGCAGACCCTGGGGCAGACGCCTCGCTGTGTGGCATGGCGGCCACGGGTGCCTCGGGCACCAACGCGGTGCGCTACGGCACCATGCGCCCCAACGTGCTCAACCTGCGCGTGGTGCTGCCGGACGGGCGCCTGCTGCACACCGCCGGCCCCGGGCGCCAGCCCAGGTGGGCGCTGGGAGGCCGGGGGGCTGTGCTGGGCTGTTCATGTGCCACGTGGCCGCCTGCTCACCAGCTCTGTGCAGGAAGCGGGCGGCCGGCTACGACCTGACCTCGCTCTTCGTGGGCTCTGAGGGCACCCTGGGCTTCCTGACTCAGGCCACGCTGCGCCTGCACCCGCTGCCCGAGGCCACTGCTGTCACCATCGCCTCCTTCCCTGGCGTGGGGGCGGCCGTGGCTTGCACCGTGCAGGTGCTGCAGGCCGCCGTGCCTGTGGCCCGTATTGGTGAGTGCCCGCAGTCAGAGGTGGGACTGGGGATCCAGGTGCTGGTGCTGGAGCTCAACACTCCCTCCTCCCACCCAGAGTTCCTGGATGAGGTGATGGCAGATGCCTGCAGCCGCTTCAGTGGGATGGGGCTGCCCGTGGCAGCCACGCTCCTCCTGGAGCTGCACGGCTCCCGGCGTAGCCTGGCTGAGCAGCAGCAGCAGATGGGTATGGCTTGGAATAGGGAGGAGGAGAGGGGACCAGCAATGGATGCTTGGGATGGGGACCAGGAAGACACTAGGGTGAGGGATGGGTGATCTGGGGATCTGCTGAGGAGCTCATGAACATGGGACGGGGGGGCTAGGGGTGTCACAGGGTGGTAGACAGGGACCAAGAGACAAGGGACAGAGGAACCAGGAGTATCCCAGGATGTGGGATGGGTGCCCAAGACGGGTAAGGGCTGGGTGCCTGGGAGTGCCGTGGGTCATATCCCAGAGCTCCTGGTGACCATCAGAGGAGATCGTGCAACAGAACGGCGGCTCCAGCCTGGCCTGGGCAGAAGGGCTGGAGGAGCGCGAGAAGCTCTGGTCCATGCGCCACAATGCCTGGTACGCTGCCCTGGCCCTGCGGCCCGGCTGCCAGGTGAGGCACAGGGACGGGGATGATGGCAGCAGTGCCCATGGTGCTCTGAGTGCCACAGCTCTGCCCTCCCTGACCCAGGGCTACTCCACGGACGTCTGTGTGCCCATCTCCCGCCTGCCTGACGTGGTGGTGGAGACCAAGCAGGACCTGCAGGCCTCCAGCCTCACCGGTCAGCAGGGCCACAGCCCCCTGGGACAGAGGGGGCTGGGGGGCCACCATCCTCCATGCCACACCCATGTGACCCGTGGACTTGCAGGACCCATGGTGGGACATGTGGGTGATGGCAACTTCCACTGCATCCTTGTCTTCAACTCCCAAGACCCGGAGGAGGCCCAGCGCATCCACGCCTTCACCCAGCGCCTGGGCAGGTGAGGCCAGGGTGCTCTGGGGGGCCGGGACTGGATACAGACATCCCATCTCCTGTTCCTCCCTGTCCCACAGGCGGGCACTGGCAGCCGGGGGCACCTGCACCGGGGAGCACGGTGTGGGGCTGGGCAAGCGGGCACTGCTGCAGGAGGAGCTGGGCCAGGAGGGCCTGGACACCCTGCGCTCCATCAAGGCTGCACTCGACCCCCACAACCTCATGAACCCCGGCAAAGTGCTCTGAGGGGGAGCACCAGCACTGAGCTGGCACTGGGGAGCCTCAGCCCCTGGAGTCAAGGCCAGGGCAGCCATGCTGCCCTGCAGTGCCACTGTGTGTGTCCCTACAAATTCTCCCATCCCCACTTCTGGGGATCAGGGATTCTCAAACCCCCAATAAACCCTTTGGACTCACATTATCCATGTGCTGAAAAGTTGTTTAGGGGGGTAGGACCCCCCAGCCCCTTCCCAGGAGGCTCCTGACAGCACACACTGGGCAGGGCATCGTCAGGGTCCCACCTCAGTCACTTCCCCTGAGCTGCAGTGCTGCCGGTGCCAGGTGGGAGCTCCCTGGGACCTGCTGAGCACTACTGTGGCCATCCCCACATGGCAAGCACAGAGAAGTGGAACTGGTGTGGGTGGGGGGCTCCAACACCCCACTGGCATAATCTGCTTCACCAAGAAAGCCAGTGAAATAAAATAACAGTGAATGTTTTATTGAACATTGTTTTAATACCATATCAAAACACCTTGACTAATGAAGGAAGCTCCCCCCAAGCTCTGAACTCTTTTTTTCCCCCATTTTTTTTTTAATATATAAATACAGAAAGGTTTCCCGCAGGGGCACGGCCACCGGCAGGGGAGGTCTCACCAACGAAAACGCGCCCGCCGCGCCAGGAGGGGACGGGGATGGGCGAGAGGGGTCACTGCCATGAAATGACACCATCTTGGCACCTCCAGCAAAGCCACCCCTGTGACTAGGAGTGGCTGGGGGCATCCAGGGGGGCCACTGGGGCCTTCCCCATACCCTCCTCAAAAGGGTCCAACTCAAAGCCAATGGAAAAGAAAGAGGGGAGGCGGTTTTGGCAAGAGGAGCCCGGCGAGGGGGCACAGGAGGGGCGGCGGGGATGCTGCAGCTCTCCAGTCTCTGAGTGGTTATAGCTGAGTTAAAGAGTGACCAGTCTGTAAACATCACCGGGGCAGGGAAGCTCAAATTGAAGAACACGCCAGTCAACACGAAGCTTCAGTTGTGGTTTGTCGTTTGGTTTTTTTTTTTTTGTCCATTTTCTCTTTTTTTCTTCTTTTTTTTTTTCCTTTTTTTCCTTTTTTTTCTCATTGTAAACACTTGAAAGACGTACCCCTGCGACTCAGCAGGGGGGAGCAGTGGCCCCGCTCCCGGCGTGGGGCAGAGTCCCCATCTCAACGCTGCCGGGGCTCGGGGTGGAGATCTCCAAAAGGGAGATGGGAGAGAGGAGGAATTGCCCATTTAGTCAGTGCAAAAAAACCGAGCAGAGCCCCCGGGCGAGTCCGGGTGGGAGGTGGGGGGGTTGCCGGTGAGAAATGCCGCGTGCTCCGTTTGGCCGGCTGTCCCCGGCAGCTTTCCCCTTTCGGCTCGGGGAGAAAAGCCAAACATCATGGCAGGGTTTGGGCCGAGGGCGTCCCCGGGGCCTCCCTGGCAGGCAGAGCTCTCCTGGTGACCAGCGGCTGTGCAGGGGAGAGCAGGTCGCTCCGCTTTTCTCACACTGTCGTCTCCTGGATGTTTCTCTTTGTTTTAAGTCTTTTAAATTAAAATAAAAAACAAAACAAAACAAAACAAAAAAAGCAGAAAAACAACAGAACAAATAAAAATAATAAAATAAAATAAAAACTCCGCCGTTGTCCCAAGTGGATTCAAGTTTCTGGGTTTTATTTTTGTCTTCTCGAGGAATTTAAAGTCAGCCCAAAACTCCAGGCGGGGCAGGGGGGACGGGGAGAGGAGGTACAGCAGGTATAGCAAGGTGCCCTGCAAAGGCAGAGAGAGACCATCCCGGTGAGGAGCAGGAGGCCTGGCCGTCACATCCCACCCTATCCCACCCTGTCCTCCACTTCCAGCCCTGGACTTAAACCCAGCATGACAATGTCCCTTCTGAGCAGCCCACCACAGGCTCACCTTAGAGAGAAGTCAGCAAGCACTCGGCGGGTCAATCAGAAGGATGCTCTGGGCAAGATCTGTTCACTTCAAACCATGAGTCTATACAGCTGCAAGAGGAGAGCATGTTACCACCATGCTGCTGAGCCTCAGGTGTCCCTGCCTGTCCCCTTGCCACCTGCCTGGCTGTCCCCTCATGGTACCTTTTGTGATAAATGCAGAGGCAGGGCAGCCTGGCTATCGTGTCCCCCTGCAGCAGCTCCTCCAGGCAGATCACACACTCGCCGGCGTCCTTGGTCAGCACGTCATCTGGGAGGGGAGGACAGGGCAGCAGTGAGACGGGCACCACCAGAGCATTGCCCTCCCTAGGATGGAGTGCAGCCCAGGGTCACTGCTGCGGGGGCAGCCGGGATGGGGGGAATGGCAACAGTGCTGGGAAATGCTGGCAGGAGGCTCACGTGGAGGCACGGGGGAAACGTGGGTCTGGGGCATCTGGAGTGAACACAACTCTTACCCCCAGCTTCCAAAAAATCACCAACCAGTAGGGGGTGAGCATTACTCCCACACTAGTGGTCAGGAGAGATGTGGGAGATGCCAGAGCTTGCAGCCCAGTGTTCAAGGCCAGCAAGGAGGGGAGGAAGGCAATGACCCTTTGGGGGCCAGCCCTGGAGGACATGTGCCAGCAGTGCTCCCTCTGGCACTGAGGGGAGGGGAGAGGGGCTCCTCGGGGTAGGGGGCTCTGTTATAAAGGAGCCCAAAAGCAAAAGGAGCAGGCTTGAGCCATGACAGGAGAGCAGAGTACAGCAGCACCATCCACAGCCCTCCTGGGAAGCCCAGCCAAGCCGCCTGCCTGCAGCAAATGTCTCTTCAGCCTGCCCGGAGTGGCAGGACGCCGTGTCCCCCACACAGCCTGGCTCTTACCGTTGTAGGAGAGGCGAGGTTTGCTCAGACACATGATAAAGTGCATTTCCATCTCGTCAGAAGCCACAGATTTGGAGCAAATGGGGCACTTGAAACCTGGAAGGAGAGCAGAGAGATGAGCCTTTAGTGAGGGCAGAAGGAGTCACCCACCCTGCATCCTGGGGAATCCCTGGGGCCATGGTGGGGCACGGCAGCGGGCAGCCCCTCACCTGCTGCCTGCATGGTGACCCTCACCCCACACAGCGCCCACTGGGCACCCACTCATCCTGTGCTGGCCACCAGCAGCCACCAGCGTGGGGGACAGCCACCGAAGAGGGGACAGCCGACGAGCTGGTGCGCTGGCCGTCCCCGTGCCCGCCGCGCAGAGGGCACGGACAGCGTGCCAAGGCAGTGCACACGTGGCCATCAGCTGCTGTCAGGCCTTAAAGGGCAAGCAACAGCCTGGGGCATGCAGCACCCAGCCACTGGCAGTGCATGGGCACGTCCCTGTGCCTGGACAGTGCTGTCACTGCTGCCAGAGCTCAGCACCACATGGCTGAGCCAGAAAAGCTGCAAGGAAGGAGTTTTTTTCTATGGCTGCAGCAAGGACTGGCAGACTGGAGCCTCAAACACAAATGGGTGCTTTGTCCAACTTTTCACAGGAGTGAAGTGTGTTCTCACCCTCTGATGCCAGCCTGCCTCCCCAGAAGCAGGGGGACACTGCAGGCTGATAAGCCAGCTTGACCTTGGCCCTGCCTGGTGATCTGGGTTCTTGGATGAAGCTGGATGGCATGCCCAGATCTGCTCTGTGACCTTGCTTGGGGTGGTGCCAGGGTGTCACACCAGTGTCATCACCTGCTCACCATGCAGACCACCACAGCATCAACCCCAGCCCCACTGAGTGAGGCTGCCCCAAATGCAGTTTGTAAGCCCCAAACTCACAAGGGAGCAGAACCTCAAGCAGCCCTGCAGGTCACCCATCTGGGTCTCCCTGCCCTTCCACTGCAGCCAGCTCAAGGCCACGAGGTTTGTCACTGCCCAGCAGAGCAGCGCAGCTCGAGCTGAACACGCGCGTGCCACCACCACGGGTTTGCACCAGAATATCCAGCAATTCCCTGCCTGCAGAGAGGGAGAGGGTAATTTAAGGATCTGCCTTCTAAAAGCAGATCAGGTTTGACTGCAGTGCTGCTTAAGAGCTTTCTTCATATATATGCAAAGGCTGCTCAGGAATGAAAAGAAAAAGAATGTACACAATTTATCTAAGGATGAATCAGGTTCTTGTTTGCCACCACGTGGATGTGGACAGGGCATTTTTTTTTTTTTTTTTTTTTGCTTATTGTAAGAGACAAAGTACAGGGTGGCTTTAAGGAGAGGCAGGTCAGACCTCGGCTGTGCAAACAGCCCCTGTAACTTCTCAACACTCCAGTGCTCATTAGCAGCAGTGATAAATACAGTTTACTTCCCAGGTCCTTGGATCCTGCCCCTCCCGAGTGTTGTTATTTCCCAGGAGGGTGCAGCAAGGATGAGCATCATGGATGGTATGGGATTGGCTCTAAAAGGACCTCCTAAAAGAAGGAGCCCTCAAGCCCAGCAGTCCTCCAGTGGGATGTCCTGCTGGCCTGCAGCATTGCCACGCTGGGAACACATCCCTGCCCCAGCCTGGCTGAGCCACAGGGTGTCTGCTCTGAGCTCAGCCTCAACTGCACCAAGCCCCAGGCGATAGGGCAGTGCTGCAGCCAGGGCCTCGTGGGCAGCAGCACTCATCTGCCTTCTCCTCTCCAGCCTAATTTTACTCCTGACCGATTTATACCTTGTGGCAGCCGTGCCCATTAGCTGAAGCAGCTGGTTTTTTCCTCCTCCCAAGTGTTTACCCGCCCGGTGTATTTATAGCCTCCCAGGCTGCCTGCTGCAAGACCCAACTGGCCTCCCCTTGTGAGACAGCCTCCCAGTGGCCCGGCAGCCCTGTCCCTGTCCCCGCCTGAACTGCTCCCGCCTGGCGCGGACGGTCTGCCAGCGCCACGGGCTCCGTCCCTACCGGGGAGCTCTGGGCACTGCTTCCAGCAGCACGTCCCTGGAACGGCTGTGACGGGCTCCCTTTGGAGAAGGCATTTTGTCTGCAACCTCTGTGTCGGGGCACAGTATTTGTAGAGGTTCAGTACTGTTCCCTGTGCTGTGTGTGGGCAGACCTCGTTTCCTCTGGTCCCCCCTTTTCTGTGCCAATGTGTTATTTTAAACAGCTGTCCCAGATCTGCCAGCTCCGGCAGCACCCGAAGGGATCCTATGAGACGTGCAACCAGCGTAAAGGGAAAAGGCCCCAGATGAAGCTGCCTGGTCTGTGGCTGCCAGCAAGGCAGCAGGGCCAGGCAAAGAGCAGGGTCCTCTGCAGGC